AATACTTGCACCCCTAGCTTCTCAGCTTCATTCCATCGTCCCTGCTTCCAGTAGGTTACTGTCAAGTCTACCATCCCATTGAGAGTATCAGGATGTTCAGCCCCTAGCACAGTCTTCCTTAGCTCTAATACTTGCAATGCTAGCTTCTCAGCTTCATCCCATCGTCCCTGATTCAGGTAGGTTGATGTCAAGTATCCCATACTAGTGAGAGTAGAGGGATGATTGGGCCCAGTTTCCTCCTGTTTGATCTTGATTAGGTCGGTGTATAGCACCTCTGCTTCATGCCATCTTCCATCCCTGTAAAGGCAGTCTGCAATCTTCTTAATCAAATCCATATACTCTTTCCAATGTGCTGTGAATTCGCCTTCATATGCAAGGGATAGTGCATGTGGGAGGTATTCTCGCCAGAGTCCTCGATTTGTATGGTGATCCTTCGGGAACACTTTGCGCATCTGATCAGCGGCCCTCTGGATCCAGTGACTAAACAGCGCATTCTTCTTTAGCCAGTTCCTTGCCGCAATATGCACTAGTCTGTGTAGATTTATGCTTGTATCTTGACTGTTGATAAAAGAATATGCATTCAGCAGTCCCAAGGCGTCAATGCTGCCTTTCCTGGATGCTGGCATAGGAAGAAGGGATTGAGGGATGTTTCGTGGGTTGATACAGGCCATGAATGATAGGAGGTCAGCTGCCAGTTGATTCTGGAGTTGAATCTGTTTGAATGAGATCAACCATGTGGTGATCACTGGGTTCTGGAGATCCTTATAGCGTCCTTCATCATTGAAGTCCTCGCTCAGGAGTTCCACTACCTCTGGTTCATGTTCGTGGAGAAGCGCAGAGTAGGTGGACAGGCTCAGACCATTTTTATTAATGTATGCCGATGCCTGCGTGATTGCCAAGGGCAGAAACGCCAGTTTGTCCAGAATGGCAACTGCTGTGGGATGATCCTGAAGCAGACCCTTATCTACTAGTGACCTTTCGAGAATTTTTAATGCAGTGTGCTTATCCACATCTGGAATAGGAATGATATTGGAGGATGTTAGCTCCACAGCAAGTTGCCTGTTCCTTGTAGTGAATAGAATGTGGCCTAGTTCACTCTGAGGGAGAAAGTCTTCAAGAGTTGGACCTGCGCCATCATCTGACAGCCACATGTCCACATCGTCAGCACTGTCAAAAATCAGAAGCCACTTCCCAGCATGCTCGGAGCTGAGGTATCTTGCAACTTGTCCTTTGACTTCTGCCGGCTTCGCAGTGTGAAGTCCAAGAGCTTGCGCCATATTCAGGTAAGTCTGCTCAAACACCTCGTAGCTAGTGCATGCGACCCAGAATATTGAGCGCTCCTTATCTTGATCCCGTATGCGATATGCAAGCTCCAGGGCCACTTGCGTTTTTCCAACCCCTCCTAAACCTGTAACTGCAACCTTTCTGGGGCCGCCTTTCATCGTAATTAACTCTTCCAGTCTGGTGATTTCGTTCTGACGACCAACGAATCGCGGATTCCTTCCCAGTGGGACCATGTAGTGACCCATTCTGCTGTTGTTCTTTGTCAAGCCCTGATTCATGCCAGAGACGGGCATGGCTGACAACAACCATTTCGCATAGGCAGCTGCTGTCAAAGCCGCATATCCCTGCCACTCTTTCTGTTTATGAGAGTCGCAGTAGTCGCATATCCCCCTGATCACCAATGTCGGAAGCCCATCCATAAGGCCTGCTGCCTCCATCTCAAAAGAGAGTATGCCATGCTGTCGAGCGAGACGATCTCGAGTTTCAGAGTCCTTCATCACTTGGTCTCCAGATGCGATCAGCCCATAGTGGATATGAGGTGTGTTGGTTGTACGCGGCATTCGGCTGACTAATTGGTCTTTGTCGCACTTCTCACAGTTGCCTTTTGGGTCGGCATGGCGATAGGAGGAACGAAATAGATAATCAGACTGCTGATTCGGGGGCGAAAATCGGGCTTTCATATCAGCATTTCGATCCAGTACATCCTGCACCATTGTCGAAATAGCATCCTCTCTTCTAATCATTTGCCTCGACTCAAGGTGAGCCACATGTGTCAGGAGAGTCTGTGGTGGTTTGTTTAACGCGCCTGTCGGCTCGAATTGTCCGCCTTGAACTGCCTTGCCGTAGTCATATTGGATCACTCCGCTGTATCTTCCAACTGGCTTGCTGACGACCACATCACCCAGCCGGATGTCATGACTGGTACTAGGTACGCCTCCTCCGATTCCCACCATCAGGCCAAACTGGAGCCGTGGGAAGGTCGAGACCATGTGAGCCATGACTGTGGAAGCAGATATGGTTCCATATATGCCATCTGGTAGACAGGCAATCACTATATAGTGGCCGTTCAATTCACCGAGGACGTATGCGTTCGGATCAGTGGAAGGTTTAGGCAGGAGATTGTGGGTCTTATCCAGCATGACGCTCGCCGCTGCCATCTCCAACGGTAGGGCGCATATCCACGCGACAGTGTAGACATCGTGTGTCAAGGCCATCGTTTCAAAAAGAGAAACAGGACATAATTAGCCAAGCCTCAGGGAACTCACGAATGCAAAATCGAGAGGGATCTGACGGCGTACAGAGGATGTCAAGGAAGAGTTATGAGGGTAGGAAGGGAGGAGGGGTAATCAGCTGTGTGTTCTGACAAGGCTGCCTCACACACCTGCCTATTGGTTGATACTTTGTGACTGTGGCACACAATGATCAACTAACGCTCAGAATGGAAGCTATTGGATAAATCATCATAAGCAGTGAATTCGAGCGTCTGAATGCTATCAACCCCAGCCCCTAGCGCGTCCTTTCTTCTTTTTGCGTCTGTTAGCCGATCTATGTTTACTAAATTTGTGTGGTAATTATAGGTATACTACTGGGTACAGATGAAGGTTTGATATACTGGTGAGGTACTTTTCGGACGCTGGCTCTGGGCAGGAAGTGACAGTCCTCGTCTCCTTGATCTGAATGTGATCCGATATTATAAAGATCCATCAGCTCCGATAGGTCTATGCTTTTCTTATGCAGTTTCGAATGGCGCCGAACGGGGAGTGTCCTATCATATCATACTACATGAAGACATGTCAAACCAGAGATTTTCTTCTAACCTAGTGGTGGACAAAAGAGAGGGTAATACGCTATCAGAATGAACAGAGGGACGTGTCAGCGCCATTAACTGATAGAATAAACATACTGTAGCCTTTCAGCCATCCACAAGGCTATGCCTTGACACCTACCCTGGGGACAAAATCCACTGGGGTGACCGAGCGGCTGCCCTGGTCCTGTTAATCTCCTCGAATCACCTTCCCACTCACTTAGGTAGTGTGAATGTACTGAACAGAACATAAAATTCTCACTCCTTCGTTTGGTAAGATCAGAGACAAAAGCTTCAAGCAACAATCGTCTAGCAAGTCAATCTCTGCGACGGGCATGTCATGGCATGTTGTGATGATACCCTTCCTCCCATGGCGGATAATTACTGGGAACTCTCAAAACGAATGCGGAGCGCTGATCCTCGACTAATCCACTGGAATGTGTATCCCGCCGCTGGTAAGCCTGCCGGGTCATACAATAGATCAAGTGCCATTGCCCTTCGCCTCAGGCCGGACAACTCCATCGAAGACCCGATCGCGTTTGTAAGTGCGTCTCGTCTCCGGAATTATCTACGTCGTCCCTCTGGAGAACCGCAGAGATCAATCTATATACTCGAAGGTCTAGCTCCAGAATTTGTGGAAGCGTTTGGGGGTCATTTTCGCCTCCACCCATCAGTATTTCTGGACCATGAGAGGCTCGTTGCTTTCGATGACCGACCTACAGGCGAGGCCGGAGGCATGCCTTTCCTGGTATCCACGATCCGCTCGAAGGAACACATCTCGCTCAAGTACCATGAACCACTGGTCTTCTCGCCCCCGCCAACGAGTTTCCGGAACTTCTGCGACCATACGGGGCGACATATCGGCATCACCAGAGTCATGGGCAAGCTCTCCCCCGTTGGCGTTGCGAGACAAAAATGCTCCTTTTGGTGCAGGGGGAACGACTCAGACGCTGGTTGGGACTGTGAGTTAGCATGGACTGCAGCATTTTTAATGTTGATACGGTCTTTGACTAATGTTAGAAGGTCTCATTATCTGCGATCCTCCCATTGAGAGGCTGCGAGATGATTATTCAAACAGGATATCGCACGAGGTCAAAACGACACCCTATCACGGAGGTTATGTGGACTTTATGTCCCACCATGAACACCTCAGGCGCTGCTCGGGGCCACCCCGGTCGTCCTTCCTCGAGGATATGTGTTTCTACCTGCGCAGCTACAGCATGTTTTGGATCTAGATAATCCGATGTCTGTTCGCATGTTCCTCGAGAGGATTGTGGCGAGTCACTGTACGCAACTCGCAAATTACCTACGAGAGACAATTGAGGTGGTCCAGTGGAACCTCTCCCGCCAGCGCGACCTATCAATCTTTGCCATTTCCGCAGTCGAGGAGCAGTGGAGCGATATCCAGTCGTGGGACCGACGCCTCGGCGAATGCAGAGACCATCTAGAGGCCATAATGCTACAACTGCATGTGCCCTTGGAATTCCCAGCGGGGCCGATAGCCCACGGCGCGGAGGAGCGTGCTGCTGATTTCCAATATCTTTTGCGAAGATTCAAAGAACTCCACTACCGAATTGGACGTCTCAATAGCGCCATTACCGGTCTTGCGAGCATCTCTGGCAATCGCCAGGCTTTCAGGAGCAGCAGCTGTCGGTGCAAGCCACCGAACGCTCGCTCCGCGCCGCCAAAAGCACCAAAACCCTGACTGTCCTGGGCTTGCTGTTGATCCCACTCGCCCATACCGCCTCGATCTTCAATATGGTTGCACCCTATGGGCCGGGCAATGATCGCTTTTGGGTCTATTTTTCTACTTCTATCCTCTGGTCGGGTTTGTGCTAGTGGCATACTAGGTGTTGGAATTCGGGTATACGGACGACGCGAAAGAGTGGTCATTCCGTGCGTTCGCCAAGACTGCTATCGGGAAGTTACGTAGGGCCCAGTAATTGTTGGGGCGTTTTTTCGCTTTCTGAGTTGTGGGTAATTCTGTCTCTGAATCGGTTGATAGGTTGGATTAGTTGGAAGTGCGCTTCGATGCGAGGGGTTCGACTGGGATTGTTTTTCCTATGTTTTCATTATGATAGCGGTTGTAGTAGCTATATAGCTTGAACTCTATACTTAGTAAATTGTAAACTTATATTTACTCTTCGAAACGCCCAGTCTCTGCATTACTGGAATATCTCAACTTAGTTAAGATCTTCTTCTAATGATATGCTGTCTCACTGCTCAGTTTCTAGCTGGAGTTTCATTATCAAAAGGAAGAGGAGAAAATAATGAATCACTAAGGAGCAAGTGATGATAGGTCGGGGAGTGTACATTTAACATTTAACCTGCTCTCTCAAGCCTGCAGGAGCCATCCACCTCGAGGATAAGCTCTAGATACTATTTGCATTGGAGTTAGACGTCTTGAAATCCACAAAGATTTCACACAATTGGCTGTTAATACCGGGCCACGGCTAGCAACGGCCCCACCATACGGATCGTTACCTTTCCCGCAAGCTTTCCAGCAACCAGAGTCTTGGGAAAGTCTGAACATCTCAGGATATCTAGGGTAAACTTAGAGCTTAATAGGGTTCAAGGTATAGTAAGGTGGAAAAACTTAGTGAGGTTTAACGACCTCTTTTCTTAACCGTCAAGTTTATAATCCCCAGTTTAGGGTCATAGAGCCGTTTGGGTGGTTAGGTTGATTGGGAAGTAGGATAAACATAGGTCAGAAAGAAGCAATCTCTTTTAGGGTAGTGAGTGTGGGGTGTTCCTCCAGTAATTTTACATAGCGGCGGAGGAGCTTAAGTGCTGCAAAAGACGGTGTATTTTGTGTCCATCAAGGACTTTGGCCTGTTCCTTGCTGACTTACTGTTCCGGGCTATACTATGACTACTAGTAATTGGCCTTGATGGGTTGAATATCTGTGCAAGGATAGTAGCGGCATACCTGGTTGTTAGATAGGAGGTGGTGTCTTTGTAGCGTTCATTGCAAAAAGTTGAGGTTCATTGCTACATGTGCGTTGAAGAACATAGGTTTATTTGGACTGCGTCATTCAAGCTGCTAATGGTATGAATCTGTATGTTCATAATCCTATGTACAATACTATGCACCAGATCAAGGTTGGGAATGTCTGGTTCTTATCGTCCAGTTGACCCATGGCCACTATCTTGACGTTAAGAATATTGAAGGATAGACGTAAAGACTACTACTAGCCAGTACGGCTAACAGCTTGACTACTTCTGGAATGGTGATGCAGAGCTGATTAATATTAAGGCACCTGGTGTTGTCTACATTCCGGTCTCTAGTGCTGATGAGAAAGAGCACTGAGAGATCTGGCAACAGATTGTCAGTTGTGCAAGTAGGGTTGCAGCACCAGACTATATAGGCAACACTTATATTTGTAGCCATTCCCCTGAGTGAAGAGAAGTGCCTGTAAGACAACGCTTGGTCTAATTCTATCTATATAAAAAGTTATCTATATACATCAAAATGATGCCAAATACCACGAGCCTTAACGAGCAGCAGTTGCACCCCCATATCGACCCGATGTCGCCGAGTAAAAGATGTGTCCAACAAGACACAGAGTCAACGCTTCCACAAACCGTTGCTGACCCTCAGACAGCTCCCCCGACAGCTTCAATCTTTTGAATTCCTCGGAAAACTCAGTTTCCATTTCGAGAATAGATTCGCGAACGAGCTGCTTTGCTATGGACTCGGAGACTCGGTGGACCTTCCGCACGACATCAACCGCGTTGATAAGGACCGCACCGGTTCTGCAATGATCATTGTATTCCTTGTCGAACGAGTACAGGTCGTTGGTTAGAGAGATGTGGTCGGAATAGAGACCGATGAGCTTATCGAAGACTTTCATTTCCGGTTCGGACAGGTGGGCATTGCATGCGAATGCGGCTTGCGCGAGGAGTAATCTTGCTGCTGTCAGTCCGGTTTCGGAGACATTAGACATGTTTCGTAAGCCTTACTCGCGCCCGATATCTACAGCTCGATAGTCCAGATAATTCCTCAGGGAATCGAAAACGGTAGGTGGGATTGATTGGTAGCCTTTTGTGTGTTTGATCCAGGCGAACGCCCCGTCGAGGAGATTTTTCCCTAGAATGGGTTCTTCGTCGATGACTGCTTTTAAGAAGCCGTGCAGAGGATGCTGTGCGCTTTCATCCTGGGTGCCGATCCAGGGGGCCATGATGGCGTCTGTGATTGTAGAGCCCTAAGGTAGGTCGTGAGAGAGGTGCGTGATTGGCAGGAAGGTGATAGATCTTACTGCGTCCACCGGGGACTCTTCGACGACATCTGCGACAGGAAAAGGCAAGTTATGAGCACCCCATACTACATTAGGGATGTCAGCTATACTCACCATCGTGCAAGAAGATAAGCAGCATAGACTGCGCTATCATTCCCGCTCTGACGGGACTGGCGTCGGGAAACATGTAAGCTGTGGATTTGACGGCCGTGGCTATCAGCTCTCTCTCTTTGAGTGCTCGTTTATTGGTAGAGGCTTTTCGTAAATCGATGGGGAGTTTGCCGTCATCCTGCGGTGCCTGCTTGTAGTTCTGATAGATAGCATGGAGGAGCTCTTTCGTCATGCGTTCTGCCGTTTCCCAGTGCTTGCATTGACGGCAGTCAGGAAACTTGCTGGGCCAAGGGATACCCATTATCGAGGGGGAGAGTGGAATAGAATTGGGGTACTCGTTGCCATTGGTTGCTTCGAGGAAAGCAAACAAACCGCGATCCAAGGCGCTGTCGTTAGAGGTCTGGATAGGATCATAAATATGGGAAATGGGCATGAAAAATTTGGTTTTCGGGTCGTTGGCAAACGACGGCATTTGTATTGATGGGCTCATTATTCTGGAAGACGTTGTGATTGAGAAGGATGAAGACATTACCTCTCACCGACAACAAGTGGGAGGCTCTCCCTTATAGCCACATTTCTCATGTTAAGAGATCATCAACAAATCTGGCGACTCCATCCCGCTTCACCTATCTGCACGGCGTCATTCTACAGCGTCTGCCACGCCGGATAAATAACCCGCAAATCGCGCGTTTGTCTAAGGAGGATTAAATAGGCGAGTGAAGGGCACGAAACTTGTAGATAACCTCACCTAAGTAAGCCACTCAAGCCACTCGTGAAGATCTTATTCATCTCGGGATGACTTCGTGTCGGATGTTACCAGATAGAGGTAAGGTTAGGGCAAGTGGATACTAACATTCCATGGAACCGGATAGTTTTAGTTCTCCGCTTGTAGAGAATGGTGACTGCAGAACTGCCTCGAAGATTCCCTTGGAAAGAAGAAATATGATCGATGAATGCAATAATTGAATGATAGACAGCGTCGAATATTTTTGATATCGGTACGAGAGGTAGATCTTTGGCCCTAATACCACATGGGACCATCGAGCATTTCGGCAATTTATGTGCAGAGCGGCAACACGCGAGACGCCATATGTTTTGGCATAAAACCCAACCTGGTAGCTATCGGGACGATCTCGACGATCGACGCAAGGATTCGTATTTGAAAGGAACCAGCAGAAAGAACAAGGACGGTGGGCCTGACCTAACAACTGAGCGCAGAAATGGCGGCCATAAATATGCAACCGGCAGTGTGAAAATCTACTCGACGTACTCACTAACAACCAAAAGAAGAGAAGTTGACAATACACTATTTGCTCCAAGGGTTATGGAAGTATTTCTTCTCTTATACACGCATCCCTTCTGGGCCGCTGACCTCGTGGGTGCAGCATACCTTCTGCTTCTCGCCATCTATCGCCTATGGCTCTCCCCAATCGCCCACTTTCCAGGCCCTAAGCTCGCTGCCCTCACCCTGTGGTACGAGTTTTATTTTGATACCCTCCTTCATGGCCAATTTACTTTTGAGATTGCTCGAATGCACCGGAAATACGGTTGGTCTCAACGAACGGCAAAACAGGAACATGATTAATCCAGGTGATCAGGACCAATCGTACGAATTAGCCCCTATGAGCTCCACATCGACGATCCCGAGTACTACGAAGTGCTGTACTCGCGCGACAGTCCCCGGAACAAATATGAATACTACGTCCGCCAATTCGGACAGCCGAAGGCCGCCTTCTCGGCCGTCGAACATTCGCGCCATCGCCTCCTAAGGGCGAGCATGAATCCATTCTTTTCTCTGGCGCGGATTCGGCGACATGAACCGAAGATTCAGGCTTTGGCTGATAAACTCTGCAAGAGACTCAAGGAGCTCCAGAATACTGGGAGGCCGATTGTCATTCAGCATGCGTACACCTGCTTCACGACTGATATTGTCTCTGAGTATGTCGCGGGTCAGGAGTTTCATTACCTTGATTCCCCCGACTTCATGCCACAGTGGTGCGAAACGCTCAGTGGAATTGCCAAGGCTGGAGTATTTTTCAAGCCGTTCCCCTGGCTACATTCTGTTATGAAATGTCTCCCGAAGAGTTGGGTCGCACGGGTGGACGCGGGGATGGGATTGTTCTTCAGCTTTCAGCAGCGATGCGCGAACTTGATTCAATCCATCATCGAGAGCGAGAATGAGGAACCGGGGAAATCGGCAAATAATACACCCGCTCACCCTGCGTTTTTCCATGAAGTCTTGAAAAGTGACCTGCCGCCCTCCGAGAAGAGCGCGGAACGGCTCTCTCAGGAGATGCTGATTGTCGTGGCTGCTGGTGCGGAGACGACGGCCAAGGCGTTGACCTGGATTACTTTTCACTTACTTGACAAACCGGAGCTTTTGCAAAGGTTGCTGGATGAGCTCCAGAGGTTGGATCCCAGTCAGACAGCTTCATTGCTGCAGCTCGAGCAAATGCCGTACTTGGTGAGTTTCAGTACCAGTTGGAAACTGGTCGTCTCTTTCTCTAACATGACACGCAGAACGGAGTCATACTTGAGGGTCTCAGGTAGGTTCAGCTAGGATCAAGTTCGCAATATTGCTAAGCATACTGTTTCAGGTTATCTTACGGGATCAGCTCTCGATTACCAAGGATTGCACCAGACAGGGCATTACATTACAAGGAATGGACCATTCCACCGGGGGTGGGTGTGCCCACCTGGAAATTTACGGACAACTACTGACGAAGAGCAGACTCCAGTCGGAATGACCAGTGTATTTATGCACCATAATGAATCCGTCTTTCCAGACTCGCACCGCTTCATGCCAGAAAGATGGCTGGACATTGACACCAGAAAACACCTTGAGAAATACATGGTTGCATTTAGCAAAGGGTCTAGGCAGTGCATCGGGATGAAGTACGTTTTTCCGATCTGATGAGAATGACTTTAAGGTATACTGACGTCTTAAGCTTGGCCAAATCCGAAATGCTGTTAGCTATCTCCAAAGTTTTCCGGGAAGTGAAGTTTGAACTGTTCGAGACGACAGTCGAGGATGTGACCATGGCACATGAGTTATTTCTTCCATTTCCTAAGGTAGGCAGTAAAGGCGTGCGGGTCATTATCAGGAGTTGATCTTACTCGGTTGGTACCTCTGTGTATAGGCCATGTGAAGACAGTATATAACTTTTTACTAGCTTTGTCTTAAGGAGTATAAGATATCTAGAAGACTTTCTTTAGAAGTAAAGATATTTCAGTATGTATAATATGAACATAGTCTATTACTATATGATGACACTGTTATAGGCATGCACAACCTATACTATGTACTTTTGTCATCAAGGAAGATTAAGATAGGTACAGTCCTTAGGGTCAGTGTGGAAGATACCCCCCAACTTTTTAATCCATCTATACTATTCCTTATATTATATACACTATGGATCTATACTGCCCCTATAGCTCCTATATTACCCAATGTTATATACAAAGCCTATATACCACCTCCAGCTGGCTAGCCTACTTAGAGATAGCCATCGGTAGCTTCAGATACTCTAGTCCATGCTTAAGAAAAGAAGAACAGTAATTAACTCTAGTTATAGTATATGTTCTCGTTTACTTCTTAATTAGGATCTGACTTGGATGGGTGTTTAGTATTATTAAACTAGTTAAGTCTAAGGAAGTCTAGTTCTACACTGATTCGCTGAAATAGTTATCTAGGATATAGAAACTATCCTTAGGGGGGTACCTAAACAGCTTTACCCTAGGGCTGGAGCTATGGCCTACCTAGAAGTGACCTTCAGGCTTATATTATGTATAATTAATCCCCTCTATTTCTAGTTATTGCTCTTGGGCTTATGTTTAAGTTCATGCTTGTATTATTATTTAGAGTTAATAAGGGAGAAGTTGCTAATATAAGGAATATAGCTAAAGTATCTAGACAGGGGAATATGATCTTTATAATAGTCTGCATTATTATAATTATTATTGATACCATTATTATTAACAGAAATCGAAGACGGGATGTGTGAGAACCTTGCGCTGGACTGCAAAAGGTTAACCACTTAGGCAAAAGACCTACTATGATTGACCCCTATGATCAATCATGCCCAGCTTCCATATATATATCTTTAAGGCTTACTGGATGCCAGGTTCTTGACTCCGGAGACATGTGTTGTCTCTGAACTGGGAACTGTGGGGGCTTAGGCGCTAACCTGATAGAGCTCTAGCCCCCCGTCGGGCATACGTACAATCTCAATCTTTTTCTAATATTAAAGAGTTGTGCCAACCACCTTCGGCAGGCTGACACGGTTAGCTCCATTTGATTCAAGAGGAGCCAAATTATTGCGCCATCCAACACGTGAGTAACCGTGCTACAGACTAAAATAGATAATACATTGGAAACCGCGCAAAAACTAGAGGACAGCTGGAAATCACTTCGCCAGAAGCAAGACCATTGCCGAATCAGCCTAATAAATAAATCCTCTGAACGTAATCAAATGTGTGGCGTTGATGCTGGTTTAGGCATATGCGTTAGGGGTACCTTTTCGGCTGATCCTTAGGGACTTTAGGCCTTTGTAAGGACAAAATTATTATAACTCCTGGATATGAGAATTTGTTTTCGATAGTAAACAATTCAATATCCGTACTAACCGCTAATGTAGTAGGGGTCGGTTAGAAGTAACGAATAGAACAAACGCAAGTGAGCACGCTCACTATAGTACATTTCGAGGTTTGAATTGATATATGCCCATTAGGGTTACAGTAAGGAAAGAACTAAGTAACAGGGAAACCCGCACCAAGCCCAGAGTCAGGAAGCAATTATCAAAGCCTGGAATTACATCTGTAATCTAGAAGCCTGGAGAAATCAGGAACAGAATTGACCATCGATGTCAGTCTCTTGATTGATACAAACGTCCTTTTCCCAGGAGGTACAATAGGTTGCAGAACTTTTGCGTTTCGAAGCACTTCTTCCAGCCCTTCTGTCGCAAGCTGCAGCCGCATGCGAAAATCAAAATAGATAGCTCGACTATTTTTTGCTAACACCCTTTGGTATTGCTGGGACAATACCTGGATAAGGTAAAGGAATTTGACTATCTCCATTGCAAGCAATTATGCCTGTCAACCCTGCTAAATCTCCCCATAGCTAATAACAGTTGGTGCGAAAACATGTAACGTTTTCCTACCAGTGTCTGCAATACTCAACTCCCCTCTTAATTAATGTGCAAAAATATCAGGGCATCCATTAGGTAAACCCTCTGACCTCTTCATATGAGTAATCCCCTTAAGATGGACATACTCCTGCGTCACATCCTTGCTTGAAGTCTCTCCACTGATGTTGAAATAGTTGATTCCAAACCCGTTGTCATCAAAGAACCTGGCCGTACCCGCAACAACGTAGATGGTAAATGACTTGTCAGAAGCATAAATGTTTTTAGTCTCATGACGATGACCAACAAGGATATGATGCACATTATACTGCTTGATGAGACTGAGGTACCTGCCACGCACGCGGTTGGGAAAGGTCCAGTATGCGTCAGCCTCATCCTCAGTGAATTCAAACGGGAGATGATGGTGCGCGACAATGATCTCTTCCTTTGCATGGTGTGCGGCTTCGAGCTGGTTCTCAAACCAAGCCCACTCTGCAGCGGTATAGCTCTCAAACTCAGTGAGATTGCTGATCAAGGTGACTGAGTCTAGGAGCACGAAGCGATATCCCTGGTGACTGAAGGAGCTGTGATCGCTGACATTGTAGTCCCTGATAAATTGCTCAAGGGTCGCAACATTGCTGATATCGTGATTTCCAGGGAGAAGATGGACGGGCTTCTTGAATTGGGGGAATGTATTCTGGAAAGCTTGGATCTGGTAGTCGTGTCTGCAATTTGCTTTTAGCCTAGATTCTGGGAGGGCCACCTCACTATTATGCATCTGGAAGCGTAGAAAACTGACCTATCATTAGTTAAATCACCCACAGCAATGCAAAAGTCGAAATCCTCTGTGTTGACTTGTTGGGCAGCCAAACCCATACGGTAAGTATCATTTTGCCATMCATCAAGGCCAAAACCAATCTGGATATCGCCGAGTTGGCAGAAACGGAAGGGCTTGTTAAAACCAGCAGAAACTTTTCATAAATCAGCTTTGTACAAAGGGAGGAACTGAATTATATAGATGATGTTGATACATACCAGAAGGTGCACAAAGTGCAAGACTGCTAAGGAGGCTGACAAATGATCTTCGCATTTTGAGTCAGTACTTAGATGTTTTGTATTAAGTCTATCTCTGATAAAAGAAAAGGCTACTAAAAACACTCGACCGTTACGACTCTACTTATACATTGGGAGAGGTAGTGCAGTCCTGCAAATAGAAATGCTCGCCTACAGTGCGTGATCTTGTTCCTGGAAATCCCCCAATAATTCCCAGGTATATTTTCAAAGTCTACCTATAGTATACAGTAGCGCACCAACTGGTTGGCTCAGGCAGTGCACGTGGAGAGGACAGACCGGCACTTCACATCAGCATGTGGATCTCATGGAATTTTGGAGTACATAGAAGATTCCTTAACAGGGCCGTGCTGAACTCTATTTTGCGCGAACAGACCACAGCTTGTCATGAAAACCCTGACTGTCATTTATGCTTTCCATTTCGGCGTTAGGTTCGTAGCAAGCTTTACGCCAGACATTTGGTCTAGTGCCGAAAGACTATTAATTCACCGGCAGTTAGAACCAAACTAGGAACACTCTCCCAAAAGTTAATTTGATGGATGATTTTCTTTTCGTTTCCCCTCTTCTTTTTTTTTTGTTTTTCTCTTTTTGGTTGGAGATTGCTCTCAGGCAGGGCTTAGGCAGTCTTGCAGTTTGCTAATCGCCGGCAACCTTGCCTCTTATGTTCTTGAAATTGGATTTAAAGCATTCACTTCCCAGTCACAGCCTCCATTGGACGCATTCATTGAGGTATGGACGCCCTGCAGGTCTTTCACAGAGTGCATTGAAGCTTGAAGCTGGCTGGGTTGTACTCTTCCCTTATTTGGTATTCCTTTGTATTTTCCGTGTCAAAAGACCGACATTGTGGTAAGACATGATAAGGGTCATCGCGAATTTGTACCTGTGTCAGAGCCTAGGCTTTCAGCCGCATAGCTCTACCACCCAATCGGTCTCTACTCACCGTTCATCAGTATTTCCCACCACTGGTCAAGGTGAAGTCGGAGTCTATCTACTCTATTGTATGCCCTTGGCGTATCATGAGATTCTTAATGCCCAAGGCAGTGCTATATACACAAACTTCTCCCACCCAGCCCCCCCACTCTCTTCCCGCGGAGATGCCAGGGAGAAATTTCCTAGGCTGATGACTGTGGCTTATTTGGTGAACACTCATATTGCTCTAGATTACCCCTGGGCAGCAATACCAGTGTTGTTTTCGCGTCCTCCTATAAAACTTTGAAGTCTCCATCCATGAATGTCGAGAAAATCCTCACGCGCAGAACCACTTTACAATTAGAAATATTTTTTCATGCGATTTCCTCCATATAACACCTTTCACCTTGCAAACTAGTCTGCGACAATCTGTTTGTTGAAAGGAGCATCAGAATGTCATGCACTTGGAACTACTCCCTGGCGTTGACAGAGTATGTCAACTTTTGGTCTTTCATTGCAGACAATGGTACCCCAATCTATTGTACCACTGGTAGGACTGTGTTATCTCTTTCAACAAGGTCATATTCTAGATCAATCCTTATGATGCAAGGCCTGCATAAGGTTACCTCGCTGATGGTATAGCTACTCTGGTGCCACTGAGCAAATTCAGCAGCCCTATTCGAGCGTAGACACGCGCAAATGGACAGTTGTGGAGGAGGATTCACAGGTAGAGTAATCCTAAGTACCCTAGATTTAACAAAGTCAACGTCTCTGCTGTTTTTTGTGATATCAGAGCTAGTTGAATATTTATCACTTATGAAATCTGCGACTTTTAAGACTAGTTATGTATTGATATAGGTTAGAGTCATTAGCCTTAGCCAGTTAGTGAACGACTATCAAGCTCCGTCCACCAGTGTGCGCCTCTCATACCGGGAATGTACGTCATAGCGCCTCAGCTACCTCGCAGATGAAACCTTTATGCTACTATAGCGCCAGGCAAAAGATCAA